TGCTACCGCAACGAAAAAGGACTCTGTGTTAGCACGAGTATTGAACTGGGTGTTGAGGGGGTGGCCGAGCGCCGTTGTTGAACCAGAGTTTAAGGCATACAAAATGCGGCAAACTGAACTCTCGATCTCCAAGGGCTGCATTCTCTGGGGAAATAGGGTGGTAATTCCTCCAAATTTGCGGGGGAGGGTGTTGGAGTCCCTGCATTCAGGTCACCCAGGGATTGTCCATATGAAGGCACTGTCCAGAGGGTACTTATGGTGGCCAGGGCTGGATGCGGACATTGAAGAAAGGGTTCGAGGCTGCTACACCTGCCAACAGTCTCGTCCTGAACCAACACACGCCCCACCTTTAGCAATGGAGAGAGCTGAAAAGCCTTGGTCAAGGCTACATGTTGACTTTGCGGGGCCAATACATGGGCAAATGCTATTGGTGGTGGTGGATGCACACTCGAAATGGCTCGAGGTAGTCCCCATGCGGAGCACAACTTCGGCGAACTTAATAAAGGCTTTGCGCCAATTGTTTGCCACCCATGGGCTACCGGAAGTGCTGGTATCAGACAACGGCCTTCAACTTACCTCTAGAGAGTTCGCAGACTTCCTAGAGGGTCATTCCACCCAGCCTCAAACGGCCAGGCTGAGCGCATGGTGCGAACGGCAAAAGAGTCCCTTGCTAGGCTGCCAGGCGATGACTGGGACTACAGAGTGGCTGAGCTCCTGTTGTGGCAGCACATCACGCCCAACTCTGCCACAGGGAGAAGCCCGGCCGAGCTTCTCATGAAGCGCAAGCTAACCACCTTGCTTGATCGGATGCATCATGACTTGGATGCCAGCAGAGAGAAGGAGGCTGAAACTCCAGAGGCCGTAAGAGAGTTCCAGCCCGGGGACTTAGTATTCAGCAGAAACTACGCTGAAGGTTCCAGCCGAAGTCACCGACCGACTGGGCTCACGAATGTATGTGGTCCGGCTACCAGATGACTGCAGGGTACGCCGCCACATAGATCAACTCAGACAACGATGGGCTCCCGCAAGTCATGAGTTCGAGTCTGGAGTGGTTCCCGAGCCTTGGGAGCAGTCCCACTTGCCTCCGGACGAGGTGAGTGCTGCTGGTTCTCGACTAGAACCAGAGTCAGGGCAGACCCCTGCACTCTCCGACCCTACCGAGCCAGGTGGCCCTGCAATGCCAGGCGCTGACCCTGGGCCAGTCCCCGGTCCCGACGAAGCCCCCACACTTCGCAGGTCCCAACGAACCCGACGGGCCCCTCCCTATCTTTCAGACTATCAGTGTGATGCCATCTAAGGGGGGAGGAGTTGTTATGTCTTGAGAGACATAATGATAAAAGCTTGAGCTACCATAGCTCATTATACGGAATGAAAATACAGACCAATGGTGTGTATTCTGGAGGGAAGAGTTTTGATTGGATGTTATGTAGCAATTGTGATTGGATGTAACAAACCTAATGTGATTGGTTGTTGTGCAACAAGGTGGCTATCTCAGCCAGAATTGTATATAAGTTGCCCTTTTGCCTATGGAAGTTGTCTAGCTGGTCTAGCACCTATAAGGCTGAGCCTTCATGCTGTTATCACTTCAATAAAGCTGAAATCACTTGTTGAACTGTTCCTCCGAGTTAAGTGTCATACTTAACACCTCCCCACTAAGTTCAGGAGCACCTCAGCAGACAAAGTCTCTTAAGTAGGCTGGTCTGTGTCGTTCCTGGGTTGAATGTTGCAGTTCCGTCTGAGGGGCTGTGGTCTCAGGACCGGAGTCCAACTGTGCTGGTGCTGTGCTGGCGGGAGGCTGCAGAGCTGGTGGGGTGTCTGGCAATTCCATGGCCTCCTGGTCGCGTGTTTCACCTTCTGGGCGGTTTGGTGGTGCGATGTCTAATGGGGGTTCTCTCGCAGCCTCTGGTTCCTGTGGTTGCGGCAACCTCGCCTCATAGACTCCGGCTCAGCTGGTAGGAGACGGCAGTGGAGCTGGTCAATGTGCCTTTGAAGTACCTGACCATCTTCGGTCAATACTTTGTAAGACAGGGGTCTGGTGACTCAGATGACCTTGACAGGAATCCAGGCAGGACCACTGGAATAGTTTTTGGCATAGACGGAGTCACTGGAACAAAATCCTCTGGGCACTTCCTGGGTCTCCGGTGATGGGCGACGCTCCAGGGCTTGGTCCGGGTGTAGTCTGTCCAGGTGTGTGGTTAGGCGCCTGCCCATGAGGAATTCCACCGAGCTGTGGCTTGTAGTTGTGCTTGGGGTTACCCAGTGGCTGCCACCAAATAGACCCCCCCAGTGGCTGACCCCCAGGGACTGAGGCACCCACCACCCTGCTCGATGGCAGGGCTAAACCCAGCCCATAAAAGGCAGATCCCACAACAGGCCATGGAGGAAGCACTGAGGTCTGCACCAGGGCTGTGAGAGTAGAAGTCCAGAGGAGAAAGAAGAACCAGGTGGTGCAACCCTTATTCTGAGACCTGGGGATCTCAGGGCTGACCTCCCATGATAGCGGATAGACAGGTAGTAGACCCAGCTAGGGGGAGCATCACAGGACACATCAAATTTAAAAAATCACCTTAACTGTGGAGTGGTATGATACCTGTTTTATCAGGGCAGGTCAGAAATGGGTATTAGAGGGAGTATCTTCTTCAGGCACGAAGAAGGGAACGGGACGTTTTTAGGGGACGGCAAGGAGCTGCGGTGGCTCACGTGGTTAAGACGCTGAACTGCAGGCTGTGGAAGGTCAGTAGTTCAGCAGTTCGAGACCCGAGTGTGCCGCATGATGGAGTGAGCTCCCATCTCTAGTTCCAGCTCTTGCCAACCAAGCAGTTCGAAAGCAAGAAATTGCAAGTAGATAAATAGGGACCACTTCGGTGGGAAGGTTACAGCGTTCCGTGCGCCTTGGTGTTTAGTCATGCCGGCCACATGACCACGGAAACGTCTTCGGACAGCGCTGGCTCTTCGGCTTTGAAACGGAGATGAGCACCGCAACCCTAGAGTCGGATTCGACTGGCTTTCGAGCAAGGGAACCTTTACCTTTTTAAGGCAGTGGGACATGCACTGCTGTAGTTGCCCGGCTAGGACACTGAGAACACCATCTTGCTCTTAAAAACCTTAACATCGGAAACTGAATAGGGGAGCACCAAAAATGTTTTATGATGTTATTTAATTGTCCATTAATTGTTTATTTGTAATTTAACATTTTATATTGTTTTATTGTTTTATCTGGCCTTATGCCCTCTTAGCCACCCTGAGCCTTCGGGGAGGGCGGGATAGAAATCCAAATAATAAATAAATAAATGCCATATTTTGTAGGATAGGTGGCACAGGTTGGCTTATCAAAAAATGGCTTCCCTGCTTAGAAACACTCTCAAGTAGCAAGAAAGTGAAACCTTTTTCTAGTTGATGTCTTTAAGTGTCAAGAGTCACTGTACCAAGGCACGGAATAGGGTTGCCAAGCTCCACATGGGGCCTGAAGATCTCCTGGAATTACAGCTGGAATTTCAGACCACAGAGGTGATTTCCCCTTGAGGAAATGGCTGATTTGGAGGTGACTAGTATGGCATTATACCAGCTGAGGTCCCTACCCTCCATAAACCTCATCCTCCTCAGGCTCTGTCTCCATATCTCCAGGCATTTTCTAACGTGGAGGTGGCAACTCCAGGCCATGGAACTTAATTAAAACTGCCAGATTTTATCTCTTTGCCTTTGTTTCTAGGTTAGAGGTAGGCAACTTTTTTGGCCTAAAGGTGAAAAAAAAAATACAGTTTTCCTCAACAGACTGATCAGCCATGGAGAGAAAGAGAGCTTCTTTCTTGCTATATTGGGAGAACAGACGGATTCCACCAGCAAGGATCCAGATGAGTCCCTACCTTGTGTTGCTTAGCAGCTTCTTCCAGGGGGAGAGTTGTGTGTCCTTTGTGTTCCGGGGACTTTTCACAAACAGAACACACCAATTGTTCATCCTCTTTGCAGAAGAGGTGGAGTTTTTTCTTGTGTGTCAAACAATGACCTTCTTTTCCAGGACTTAGTAGCAGGAACTCTATCTTTTCAACTAGGTTTGCCAGCTGCCAGTTTGGATGGAAATTTCCTTTCTGGATCTTGACTTTGCAGACAGGACACTTCAAAGACCCCAGTGTTTCCCATTTCTCACAGTAGTTGGTGATGCAGCCCTGGCAGAAGCTGTGGCCACAGTCCAGGACCATGGGGCCTGTCAGCCACTCCAGGCAGATGGGGCATGTGGCTTCTTTTTCCACCTCGATGGATGGTGGGGCTGAGGCCATGGGGGATGGATTCTCGGTTGCTTGGATGATAGGAAAGGCAATTTGTAAGATCTGTGAAAGGGCAGCAGAAGAGGGATTAGCTAGATACGAAGGGTTGGAATTCTAGGCTGTTGCTGTGTTGAATTTATTTTGAAATGGATTGTATTTTATTCTTGACGCTGCCTCAGGAATCTGATGGTGGAGGAGAGCCATACGTATCGTTAAACAAGCAAACGAACAAATACTGCCTTATTAAAGGGGATTAGATCAGGCCCATAGCTACAGTGGGGCATTTCGGGGCCCAGCCCCCTGACTTCCTACCAAGGCCCCCTGACTTCCATCCAGCCCCCCAGCCCTCACTGGTGCCCAGGTTGCCCTGGCAGACCACATGATGATGTTGATGAACCATGGTGTGAATGGACTGCAGGGCTACCAGATGGGGGTGAATGGGGATGAATAGCTGCCTACTCCAACTGGCAAGTGTGAGTTTTCAAAATTTAATTTTAATTTAATTTTTTTATTTTGTGATGTCAGTGCCCCCCAACTTATTTAAAGGCCCCCTGAACTACAAAATCCTGGCTACGGGCCTAGATTAGATAAATTCTTAGGGATAAGTCTATCAACAGCTACTAGTCAGGGTAACGGAGGGGAACCTCCACATTCAGAGGCACTAAACCTCTGAATCCCAGAGCCAGGAAGGGGGGGGAAGGTCTTAGCCTCTGTGCCATGTTGTTGGCCCTCCAGAGGAACTGGTTGGCCACTGTGTGAGACAAGATGCTGGACTAGATGGACCACTGGTCTCATCCAGCAGGGCTCTCTCTTATGTTCTTATGTCTGTCCTGTGGGAGACAATCTCCATTATGAGGGTTCTAATGTGATGTATTATCTGATGTATGACTCAAACGTTGTGTAACTTTGTTCCAATAGAGAGCCACCAGCCCATTATTCTAATATTTGCTGGCAGATAAACAACTTCCTACATCAGAAAGCTTTTTCTAGAGCCTGAAAACTGCCAGCTTCTGGGAGCCTTTTCAGAGGAAGACAGGAGTTGCTGCTGATTTAGCTATGTGAAGAATTTTGCCTGTTCTTATTCTGAAGTTGCATTGGATGGTGATATACTGATATTTATTATATGATGCCCTTTACTTTAGTTACTTGATTTTTTAATTTAATGTTTAAACCCTTTTTATTAATGGAAAAATAACATGAACTTAACATTACATGCAGAAACTTTAACAAAATCTGGTAGAAAACTCACTCAACTTAGACATATGTTTATCATTAGAAAAAATAAAATCCAAGTCCCATTCCTAAAGCCAGTTCAATATTTCTTGCTTTGATGCCTTTGTAGGAAACAATTTGTCCCAATATGTTATTAACGGAGACCACCATTGAATAAACCAATTATGTGTATATATCTTCTTTGAATGTCCTTATTACAGCAATGATATCTTATCCATTAGTATAACAAAGCAAATTTTGCATAGACAGAACTCCAATTTTGGCTATTTTCTGCTTCCGGCTCTGAACCAAGAGCAAGTAACTGTCACAGCAAATACTACTGGTGTTTAGGCAACACATCTATGTTGTAGCTAGCCTAACAAAAACATTAGTAATTGCTACAATTCTATACCAGCCATTTCATATGTTCAGTTCTGAACAGTCTTCCACCACTCTCTAGCTCTACGAAGTCCCAACACACAAGAAAAAGTGCCAGTTAGAGTATCACATCTCCAGGACATAATTGAACTGACACACATTTTTGTTAACTTGTTAAGTGTGTAATATACTCTATTTGTGTGTGTGAAGTGTTGTCAAGTCATTTTTGATTTATGCAACCTATGAATTAATGTCCTACAAAACTTTAAATGATTTCCCCATAATTTATACCTATCTTTAACAACTGCTTGAGCTGCAGTGGCTCAAGTGGTTACGACACTGAACTGCAGGCTGCGGGAGGTCAGTAGTTCAGCAGTTCGAGACCCGAGTTGCCGCATGACGGAGTGAGATCCTGTCTCTAGTTCCAGCTCCTGCCAACCTAGCAGTTCGAAAGCAAGAAATTGCAAGTAGATAAATAGGTACCACTTCGGTGGGAAGGTAACAGCGTTCCGTGCGCCTTGGGGTTTAGTCATGCCGACCACATGACCACGGAAACGTCTTTGGACAGCGCTGGCTCTTTGGCTTTGAAACGGAGATGAGCACCGCAACCCTAGAGTCGGATTCGACTGGCTTTCGAGCAAGGGAACCTTTACCTTTACCTTTACTAGGAGATATAAAGTCCTAGATAGGGTTGCCAGCCCCCAGGTCCGAGTGGGTTTCCCCCGCTCCTGGGGCTCCAATCCACCCCCAGCCAGCTGGCCGGCAGGGGAAGCTCCACTTCCAAGTCGTGGCCACCCCTCTCCCTCCCTGCTGAAAGATATAAAGGGCTTCAGCTGATCGGTGGGGAGCACGTGGCCTGTCGACCTGCTGGAGGGCCCTTTAAATCTTTTAGCTGGAAGGGAGAGGGGCTGCTGCTCCAAAGGCAAAAAGACCCTTTACAGGATCTTTTTGCCAGTGGGGTGGGGGCTGCAGCCAGTGTTCCCTCTAAGCTGAGTTAGTGTGAGCTAGCTCACAATTTTTTAGTCTCCAGCTCACACACTTTTGCCTTGGCTCAGGAAGGAGGGCTCCAGAGCTAACTGATTTATGCAGTAGCCAAATCACTGGCTCACAACCTTAAAGCCAGTAACTCACAAAGCAGAATTTTTGCTCACAGAACTCCACAGCTTAGAGGGAACATTGGCTGCAGCATGTGTGGAGCTCATTTCCCAGTGGCGATTCGCCACTTGGGATTCAGGCTTGCCCCCCTGCCCCACTCGCATCACATACTTGAGAAATGAGTCCCCTTGGAAATGATGACTGGAACAGGTAAGTGGTGAATCGTCTGCTTGCTATGTGTGGTAAGAAATTCTAGAAATATGGAAGGTTTGGGTTTAAAATGAACAAAATAGTTTATAAAATCCATGTACCTATCTCTGTCATTGCTAGAAAAACAGCTGACAGCCATGGCCTGTTTCACTACACCAGACCATAAGTCTTTGCAAGCCCTTTGTTCTAAGCAGAGCATTCCTCCCAGTGTACTCAAAAGTTTACAACATCCTATTCCCGGGATTTGAATCCATGAATGTTTCCCCAGGTGTGAGACTTATAATAAGCAGCAATAAACAGGGCAGCCAGCTTGGGAAGTGACAGACCCCAATCCAAAATGCAAACTCATTCCTGGGATACAGAATTTCACACAAACCCCGCTTTCATCTCAGCAATAACACCAAAAGGACAGTTTGTTTGAATCAATATAAGTCTCTATAAGTGTGAGACCCACAATTTAAAGGTGATAACAATTGCAGCTGGACAATGACAGACCCTAATCCAATATGCTAACTCAGAGGCAACAGGATTTCACATACCCCACCTTCCCCTTAGAAGATAACTTTGAAGTAGCCCTCTGATAGCTTCAAAGGACAGTGTAGCCCCAAATGGTGGGAACACCAGGGAAACAATAAGCACATTCCAGTAAATGAGTGTGAACTTTTGGTGTAAGGAAGGGAATTACAATTTCAACTTCTAGGAAGCAATTTACAGTGAGCAATTTCCACTTCTAAATATTAACTGTGATATGATTAGCAAAAGAACCCCTGATCATTTGGTATAAATACTGGTGAAATCCAACAGAATTTCGTTGGCTTCTGAAGGATCAGGTAGTCTCCTGAGAATTTGAAGCCAACCCGAAAGGGCCCTTTCGTTTCTGCATGCTCTGGGGTGGGTTATTTTGTTTGCATGTTCATTTATCTGTATGTGTTTACAATTTATATTTCTTGAAATAGAAGTGTACTGTGTGGGCAAGCTGACACAGCGTCTTGCTGTTCACCTTGTCAGGTAAACTTTGAAAACTGAGCCTTTTAAATAAAAAAGATATAGAAGAAGAGAGACCTTTGCTTAGAGTGTCTCTGGCTAGCGCTCAGCGTTTCCAAACTTGCATTTTCCGCCTTTGGTAAGGAGGCATCACTCAGAGGAAACATGAACCAGAGGGGGTGTGTTGGGACACATTTTCTTACAACACTATGCAACACTTGAAGCTAGACCAAGAGGGTACAGTGGATGAGACACAGCTTTGGATATTCCAGTCTTCACAAGTCCTCTGCTCATAACCCCTCCTGGGCTGTACTCTCCCCCTTTCACTGATCCCTCTCTCGCCCTGTGCCTCAGTTGCCAACTCCCCTTCCCCTGACCTCCAGTTTGCCTTTTATCTGTCCTTCATCCCTCAAGGCACCATTTCTTAGCTGAAGGTTTCCTCCTTCTCCAACCACAGACATTGCAAGTAGAAGTTGAATCTTCTTGTTCTCTACCAACCAACCAGGATGGCTACTCCTCTGTTATGCAAGAATTACCTGCTGGTTGTCTCACACCAAAATCACTGGATGGTCTCCCGCTTGCTTGTGCTCTCACGCTTCATACATCTGTGGAGGTCAGAGAAAAGCATATTTGAGGTCCCCTTGGAACCCGGCAGCCCACACTCCCGTGGCAGCTGTGTTGCCCTTCACTTCTTCAGGAAGCAAGCGTTGGAAAACGCACAGGTGATAAATGTATGACTCCAAATCCCATTTGAAGTCTAAAGTCCAAACCATTCTTGCCTTTCATGTCCTTCTGACTCCACTGTTTACACATTTTCTTCTTATGAATGTGCACGATTGTGTGCAGCAGTGAAAATACAGATTAGACGTCCTAGGAAGAAGACTGCATTTCATGAACATTTATGACAGATGTGAGGGAACAGGCCTGCTTTGACTTACAGACCCTGTTCTGCCAGCCCCCCCCTCCTTGGCTTGTGCCAATTCTTGGAGGGTGCTGTTCCACTTCCACTAGGGTACGCTGCCACCACTGGCCTGTTGGGGTCTTCCTGCCAGGAGGGACAGACTCCTGACACCCCTTCTCAGACTGAGGCCCTGCCTTTGGTCTCCTGCAACCCTGCTCCATGAAGTCATTCA